CAGAGTATGAGCTACCAACAAAAAGAAGGAAGTATTATGAGTGGAAAATGGATGCTAATCTTAAAATTTCTATGCCAAACCATTTAAGGAAGGGCATGTGAGAATGTTATACTCTAGGAGCATCAGCAGATACCTTACACTATTGTATTTGTTTGGATAAAAAAGAATGCCAGTAACCCAAAGACTTGCTCAAGTTCACAGCGATTAAATTAGTGGTAGAGCTGAGATTAGTCCAATAAGAAATCAAATATCTTAGGGTAAAATGATAGGATAATTAATTACATGATATTAGCCCATTATCAGAAGGGACCTAGGATCAATCAAAAGCATGTGGGTTTTTGTAACATTTCCTTAAATAAAAGCTTGACTGTTGAATACATTTATATGGACATTATGTGTACTAAAGTTCTTTTCATAAAAATAGTAACTAGTGACTTCCCATTAGAAAGTCTGAAAGAGCAATAAATTGGTTATAGCCATGGTTTTTGCCAGTTTTTTCTAAATCTTTAATAACATAAACCCCATAAATTAATAATTTCAGTAATTTTATACCAGTTGTACATCCATATAAATACTGGCTCATTTTGTGTTGATAATTTTAGGTTAATCTGTTGACAGCATATATATCAAAAGGAAATGCATCCCCATTACTTCTACATTATTGCTTTAACACTCTCTTTCATGCACTGTTCAGCCTTCTGCCACTTGTGCTTTCTTAAGTTTTTGTCAAGGAATGCTATAGAGTGCTTACTGGTGTCTCAGTCAAGGAAGTACTGTGATTGCATGTCAGACATCTCTTAATTCATAACCTGCCTATATTTTGCCAGAGCTATTTTAGATGGCTGCCAGGGAGTTCAGACAACCCATCTCTGTGCTTGAGATAAGGGGAGTAATGTGTATATCATGCTGTTGGATGGTCATGTGGAAGGCTTTGTGTGCTCTGGTGAAATGCTGGCAGGTGGAAGAGTAACAGAACAAAATCTCATGGCTACTTCTGCAGAGCAACATCTGGTTTGACAGCCTGTGATCAGCAGCAAGTCAAAAATACAAAAACAGATATGGAAAAAATTTCAGTCACCAGGTATAATTGTACTTTCTGAGGTACAGTGGTCATCCTGGGATTACTGTGACAAGACTGCAATGAGATTCTCTCTTGGTATGTTATGTTAAGAGATAGAAACAGACCCCAAATTCTTGAAAAATTATTTATTCTTCCTAAAACAATAAGCTTAGCCAGGTCTCTGCTTAATTTTATCTTAAAGTAATATAAATTTTCCATACAGGCCATTTTTTTCTGCGGTGTGAGTCAGAATGAAGATAATCTTCTGCGTAGGTTCTCTTTTTAACAGAAAGTATACTGCAAAATGTATTTACTCTGTAATAATATGAACATTAAAAGTTAGCTATGCTGATGGAATGATTAGAAATAGTCTCATAAAAGTTTAAGGGTAGGGAAACACTCAATGCGTTGACACAGCTATAACTCAAAACACATATTTAATCTCTCCTCCTTCATCTGCTGCTATAACAAACACACTTGCCATGCAATCAACTTTTTTTTTAAACTTTGAATTTTAGCATTGGCTGTTGTAGCACTGGTGTTGGGTCTCCTTGGTCAGGCATATAGTGAAAGATTATGGGAACTTGTATTTCTACTCATGGACTTCAGGAACTTTTAAAAAACTATCTCTGTTAAGACTCAGCAGTGGGACCTAAATATGAAAACACTCCTTCTCATCGCTTGTTCTGGTGATGCTACTTGCACAGTGATAGCTTCTACCCAGTTAGGATTCCATATGTTTTCAGTTGTAGTGTCCCTACTAGGAGAGGGTTGAAGTGCATGCAGACTTATAAGAAGTATCATTGGTGTTAAAGGTAAATGAACATCTGGTATTGGAAAGAGGAAGATGACTTCTGATTAAGATAAACAGAAGCAATGAATGGCATAAAGTTCCATAGACAGGTCAACTCAGATGTAGAGAATTGATGTAACCTTAAAGCAAAGATGCTAATGCTAAAGCAGAATTATCTTTTGTTCCAAAATGGATTGATTACTTCAGGTTGTCAAACAATTTATAGTAAATAAATTAATGCATACATATGGATGTAGAGTTATCTGTGCATTAACAGTAAGATTCTTCTGGATTAAAATGTGTAATCCAATAAACTGTAAGGTAGCTGAGCATGAAATAAAACAGGCGATGATGTCTACTTCAAAGACTGATTATTTCTGAAAGGCATATAAAGCAGCTGGTAGACAGGATCATTACCCTTCTGGCAATAAGGAAACAGAGATAGTGTATTTTAGGACACTTTCTAGTGCTAGAAAAAGTACAAATACTTATGAATTGTGAAGATAAGGATCTGTACTCACTTCTCCTCAGATCAGCATAGCCATGTAAGCTTGAGTGCAAATTCTGTAAGAGTGGTCTCCATGCTCAAAGGCATGTTGCTCTCCCTTATTATCCAGTTTGGGATGTCACAGCAAGCCACAGCTTCCTATATGTCAGAAGAAGGGACAATGAGAAGTTGTTGGTCACTCTGAGAAGAAAAGACTGGAGAAGGAAAATAGTCCTGTTTTAACTTTATAGCCCAAGAAGGAATCATGCTCCCTGTACAGGCAGGCCAGAGCAGGAGCAGAGAAAATCAGTCACTAAAATTTAGTGGTACTTGGCTAAGAGTAGCTCTTCAAGGGGTTAGATCTATCCATATCACCCAAAGAGAGGTGCATTTCTCACCTGCATAGGAGAAAAACACCAGCATATTGAACTGAGGGATAGTGCATCTTTAGGTGAAGGATTATTATCTTTCACAGTCCCAGCAAATGAATGGTGCTGGTTCCGGATCTAGAAGTTTCATGGTAAAGAAACCTGAATGGAAAACATGTACATTTCCAACTTACATCTGTAAGCATGCACATCCAATTTAATCTAAAAAGGGGTCAGTTCTGCTGTGTACATGGAGTTGCTGTTACAGTTTGCAAAGACTGTATATGAACTAAGTCACGGAGACTCTTTTTTCTGGGGCAATAGTAGTTCCAGACAGGAAACTATCTGGAAAAACACAGTGAGGAAAGGAAAAGCTCAAAATAAAGTCTTTTGGGAATCTCCTCAGTATTTTTAGAAAACATTTCTGAAATAAGAGTTTTGGTGGCATAAAAGACAGAAAATTCCACAACGGGAGGTATCTCTGAGGTGTCATAAGAAGTTAGACCTGCTAAAGTAACCATCAAGTAATGGTCTCTGTAGACAGTGTTTCTTCTTTTTTCTCTAAATGGTTTGTTCTAACTGGTTATTACTGTTTTTATTTTTATTTTCCAAGAAGGAAAATCAATTCTATATTCTTCTAGTGATAGACTCCCAAAGGAGAAAAGGATGACTACTTAATTTCAGTCATGAGTGTTGAGTGAATGATACCCTAGGTAAGGGTGAGAGAAGTGCAAATCTGTATCCTCAAATAGGAAAAGCAGAAAGTCTAAAACCTTTTGAGATGTACTGAGGGAAAACAGGAAGATGTTTGGGTTGAGGCTAGGCTGTACTTGAGGTAAAAATAGCAAATAAAATAAAACAACAGCTAAAGACCATGCCTTTATGACAAAGGGGTGTTTCTAGTTGACCAAAGCAGCCAAAAGGGCTAAGTGAAGAGTTTCCTTGGTGTTTTACAAAATATAAAAGTTCTACTTGTAATTTGAACAATGAAAGTAAGGAACACTGAACAATTAAGAGGATTAGAGATTTCTAGACACTGCACTGAGAAACTTTTGATGAGAAAATACAGAGCCTGGCCTGGGAGCTTTAAGAAGTAAGCCCTGTTAGTGCCATGAAGCAGGCGTGTTAGATCTGTTGAAATAAGTGAATTTTACCTCAAGGAGCCTGTGTTTTGTCTTCTGAAGAGAGTTGCAGAAACACTTTCTCAAAGGAACTTTTCAGCATAAAATACAGTGCATGTGGGAATCTTGTATTTCTGAAGCAGCATTCTGAACTGGTTCCTGGTTCTGTTTTCTGCTTTCTTCTTCTCCTAAGGACTCTCTTCATCTTTCTCTGCACAAAGCAAAGCTGACCCTGTAGCTTTTGTAGGATCTGTTGTGGGACAGTAGACTGTAAATTTATCATTCATGTACAAGATAAGCAAGAACGAGCTGTTTAGGGGGATTCTGTCTGAAAACAATTGTTATTCCATCTGGACTGTAATGTTTTCCCCTTTTTTCTTTTCTTTTCTTTTTTTTTTTTTGCTAAAGCTTATTATGTTGTGAAAGCCTCTACAACCTTTTTGATGGACTTTCTGTTGTACCATGACAATGTTCGATAGAGCATTTCTTTTGCTGTGAGTTCCTTGAACTTACCTTGTCACCCCATCTCAATTATATTTTGGGCACAATATGCAGTATGGGCTATACCTTGTTTTAGATGCTCCCCAGAGCTTTACAAATTAAAGGAATCCAACAATTTCTTGCAAAATAATTTTACCATGCATGGTGTATCATTTTTATTTGTAGTGGTTACTGTTGTCTACAAGGAGCTTCACAAGCATTATTTAATTTTTACAGAAATCATTCTATGTGATGGTGAAAAATGAAGAATCCTTTGGCTTTGAAGCCATTATTTGAGGGTATCTCATCATAAACTTCCTTCAAGGGATTTGTTTGTTCAGCCACTCCAAAATTCACTATTTGTTATAGGATTTACTGAAGGTTAAACTTGGCATGAGCATCTGAAGGGTTTAAAAGCATAGCATCCTGTAGATTAAATAGAGCAATAAAAAATTGCATGATTACTGAGTCAATATTATACCGTTTCCTGTATAATGAATTCCTTCTTTTATGGTGAAAAATACCTGTCTGTTTACTTCTTGTCTTCTGTAAATATCACACCTATTTTTTTACCCCTCCTCTTTCCTCCTCCCTTTGTATCTCCTCCCCTGTGATAGAATCAATTACGTCAGTGGATATTATATAAAGAAAAATTTTCATTGGAGTTCCCAGTTCACTCACCTTAGTCACCATGGGGCTAAGAATTGCCAGCCTTTTTATGCTCTGGCTGGCCCTTTCCTATGCAAATGAAATAAGAAAAGGTAAGCTCTAGAAATGAAATGGTAGCAGATTGCCTCCTGGGAAAGAGGGAGAGAATTAAAATACCACTGCAGAGGTTGAAGGAGGCAGTGCATTTAAATAATGAACTGAAGTTTTAACATGCCTTAAATTTCTGAAACTCTCAAATACTGAGGCTACATAGCTCAGCCAACATAGGTAGATACTGTTCTTTTTGGAGAGATTAGTACCTATATCTACTGCATTAATCTCTAGTTTGATGTGCTTGGAAAATATTTTCAGTGTTACTTTTCTTTCCATGCGTTAAGACCTTCCTAGGCATGGCAACTGTTTGGCAGAAAGCAGTTATAGGAGTTTGGGAGGTACATTGTTACAGCAATGAAGAAAGTGGATGATTGTGCCTTCCGTTACTTTGGAATGACATAAATACTTTCTTCAAAAATTAATGTAGTAACATTGGACAAAGCTCATCTTGCCATTCAGGACATTAATAATCCTTTTGTAAAAGCTCTAATTTACTCTATTTGTTATCAACTTTGTTTGAAGTGTTGAAATGGAGCTCTCATACTGAAAACTATTTTTTCGAGGAATAGGTGATGAATTTTGGGCAGTGATCAGGTTTGGGATATTGGTCTTGGTCTGCTGCGTCTTGAATTCAGCAATGGGAGGAAAGCATTATCTTGCATTTAGTATCCCAGCTGTGAGCTCTGGGAGAATCTCTGTGTAGCCTTCCTTCTGGGGAGAGAAGCATACCAGCTTGGCCGGATGTATCTGGTATGATTGAGACCATCAAAGTACAATAACTTAGAGGTCCCTTTGGTAGTTTCACTTTCTCAAATTAAACACGCAAGAAAATAATGTGAAGATGAGAGGCATGTGTGCTTTTGGTACCTTGGCAAGCTTCTCAAGTATGCTCAGCTTTTATGTTCACCCCTAATCTACAGCATCTTGAGATTTATCAGATACTGTGTTAATTTGTACTATTTGTTGGTATAGATGGCTGGGAAGGGAACAAATATCTTCATCTTTTGCTACTGCAAAAAAAAATTTTTTTTTTTTTGCTCCTACCATGGTTATTTTCTGACCTATCTTCTGAAGAATTTCTATTCTGTAGTAATAGAAATCACTACTTCTTTTAGGAAAAGAAGGAATTCTTGAAAAACTCCTGTTGTGCAAAAGTCCTTTCATAACATTTAAACTATTTGCCTTCCAGAGTAAGAGTGGTACTTCCTTGGTTTCCAGACTGTGTTTTCTTTCTAGTCCATGTTGCATCAGGGAAGAAAACAGCTCTTAGAAATATTTAATATTGCTAAAAATAATACTGTGATTCAGAAAAAATTCATATGTTTGGCAAAGCAGCTCCATTGCACTGATGCACCAGCTTGTTAGTGGTCAGAGAGTTAAGTTTCCCCACCTCATGCAGACAAGTTCCTTCACCTCAGTGAGGATTATAAGATATACCCATGTCTCAGCAGTATTTGTTAATGTCTTATTTTCCATTAGAGATGCACATCTCTTCTGCTTAATAGGCAGATACTTGATCAGGCTTGAGATCTGTGGAATCACTGCACACGTTGCAAGTAGTTTCTACTGTAAAATGCAACACTTACATTTTCTTGACACTAGGTTGTTCATTTCACTTTTTTCATGCCTATTTCTTTTTCATCACTTAACAGGAAGGACAAGAAACCATGGCCACTATGTCTGCAGCACTTGGGGAAACAACCATTTCAAAACTTTTGATGGAGACATCTATCAATTCCCTGGCATTTGCGAGTATAATTTTGCTTCTGACTGCCGAGAGTCTTACAAGGAGTTCTCTGTCCACATTCAGCGTGCTCTGAACAGCAATAACCACCCTGAGATCCAGTATATTCTGGTAACAATCAAGGACTTTACAGTGTACCTCAGACCAAAACTGGCAGTGGTGGATGGGCGGATGTAAGTTCCTTTAATATAATAATATTTCAGAGAAATGTGCTGGGAAGATAAAAGCAGGATTGATTCTGTACACAGCTGTCTGTATACCATTAAGGTAACTGCTACAAGCATTTCCACAAGCAAAAAAAAGCCCTTTGAAATCCAGCATAAAAATTACTTTGGGGAGGGACTTTAGTATTAATCGTCATTTCTACACTGGCATAAGGGATGATTTAAATGCAAGTCAGGAAGAGGTTTGAGTGAATTGTTCTTCTTCTGGTTGTTCAGGAAACAATGCAGCTCATGAGACAGATCTTTCACTGGCATAGAATGACATAGCTTCATTTGTTTTATGGCATCACCTTGAGTTTACCTTAGCAGATGGTCTAGCAAATCCTCAAAAATGAAGATGCATTTTTCTGGGGTCTTTTTCTCTTATTTTGTGGCAGAAGAGAGGTGTTTTTTCCTGATCTTCATAAATAATTCTTTAAGGTCCAATGGCCATTCCTCAAGGGATTATAACAGATATAATGCAGGTCAAATTTACACAAATTTGTATGTGGTATGTATATGTATATGTTATATGTACTTTTTCACAGTGAGCAGTAGTATTTTTCTCCTCCTGTAACATGGCCGCACAAGTTTGACGCCATTACTGGTGCCAAGTAGTGTCTTAACCTAGCCTTTCCTATCATTAGCCTATCCTTTCAGTGTGTGTATATATACACACTGAAACAAGTGAAGCAACTCATAGGTTCAGACATAATTCTGAAGATGGAAGAAACTGGCTGTTAGTATGTCTTAGTATAATTAAAAAAAAAAAAAACCTTTCTATTGTCATTGTAGGACTGGGTTTTGTCCAGCTTCTGCCCTGAAGTTTGGAAGCCACTGCAAAGAAAATCTGTTCAAAGATAGAAAATAACATTCAGTATTCCAAGGATCATACCAGAATGGATAACAAAATGACATGAAGTTATAAAAAATGCATTCTTGCCCCAAATTGAAAAAGCCCTTTATTGTGTACTCAAGTCTTAGAAAGAACTCCATGGAAAACAAGTTTAGAAATCCTTTAAAAATTGTTTTTCTTAACCCAAGCCTCTTTTTGTTTTAGGTAGTGTTCATAAAACAATAGATCCCTTCTGAACAGGTTTTTGCTGCATGGGGGATTTAGTTTTTTTGTAGAACTTAATTTCCCATGTTGCTCTTTAAATGGCATATGATGCATTGTCATGTAAAAAAGCATTTCTGAATTTCACACTACTGAAGTGAAAACTGTAAAGTAGAAAAATGTATGAATTTGCCTTTTGGTACCTGATCCACTGATTGATTGAATGTCCTAGTATTAGAAAAAAAGATAAATATTCCATGCTGTGATAGCTAAAAGGTGAAAAGCTGCCCGATGTTTTATAATCCCTCTCCAAAAACATGATCTCGTAAGGCCTCATTGTCCAGAGGATGAACAATGCAGCCAAAAGTAGAAATAATGGCTTCTGAGTTCCCGCTTAGTATTTAGATGTGTAAGTCATTTAGCCATGTTAAAAATGCCTGAGGTAAATAGTTGGAAAAATCCCAGTGATAGGAAATTAGGAAATAAAGTTCTCCCAGTCAAGAGACTAGTTAAGAGGAGATGTGCATAGACATACATCAATCCTGATAGGTAACAATTATATTGGCAAATCTGTAGAAAATGAACTGGTTAATTTGACTGGATTCCAGTTCACACTACTTCTGTTTGAACAGGCTCTAGTTCTTTAGATTTTATAGGATGAGGCTGCTTGCCACAATCCCTTTATTGCTGAATGAAATTCAGCAGTGTGACTTGCTACATAGTGCACTGTAAGACAGACATATAAGAGCAGGAGAGAGATCTGGTGAAATGATTCTTTATCAGACAAAAACATCTACGCTCAGCCTTCTGCAAAATATCTTATGTCACATTAAGATGCCTTGTTGTCACCATTAACAAGCTTGGTCCTGTCAACCAAAAACTAATGAGCTAACTACTGAAACAAACTACTGAATTCCTCTTAACATGCTCCTTTCTTTTCAAACTTTTGTTGGCAGCCCTTGTATCTGCCTGTGCTTTTTGAACTCTCTCTTGAGGAGGAAGATCTTTGCAAAGGAACATTCATTGTCTCTGAAATTATTGTCAGATCTTTTGGTAAAGAAAAGCTTCCATTTATGTTGTTACTTCTTTCATTGAAGTAAATTATTAGGGAGTGTTTGAATATCCTCTGTTAATACCACAATGATGATGGATTTTCCATTGATTAAGTTGAAAACGTCTGACATTTTGGCTTTTTTCTTAAAGAACCTGTACCCTTGGAGAGGCTTTGCCTCTGAAATTGCTTTACCTTTTAAAGGCAATGAGTTATCACGTCAAGTGTCAGAGAGAGAGGATTTTATGCCTCATTAAAACAAGGCAACATGTGCAGCTAGGATCAGGTAGACCGAGACTGGTTTCTCTATTCATTAGGGTATTTGGCTTATTACAGACATTCATATCACCCCTTATGTGTCTGTACTAATGCAAAGTCTTTGATTTTCTTCTTAGTGTGAAGACACCTTACTACAGCTCTGGTGTGCTCATTGAGAGCAATGACATTTACACCAAGGTTTATGCTAAATTAGGCCTGACTCTGATATGGAATCAGGAAGATGCACTGATGGTATGTATGATCCAAGATTTTTTTATTGGCATTTCCTGGGTTTAACAGACTACTGTATACTGAACAGAAGTAGAATCTCATGAACTGAACAGAGCTAGGCTGACTCATCCAACTGACACTCATAGTACCTTACTTTAAAAACATAAAACTCCTTTCTCTGCAATGTGATAGAGGTAGCAGTATGGCATGCAGATGATCTTACTGGTCTCAAGAAAGAGAGGAGGAGCTTTCTGAGAAATAGCTAATGTTTTTGCTATAGCAACCCAACAATTCAATCTGCATTTTCCTTCATTTGTCTTTTAAAGGACTGCCATCATTGACTTTCCTAATTTATAGCAAGACTTAAATTTTATCCCAGTACGGAAAAAAAGGAGAAGAAAAAAAAAAAGTCCTGCGATTTTAAGAATGCTTTCCTTTTCATCTTTATCACCATGGTGGTTACTGTCATTATTGAAATACAGGAGCTTCAGTCACTTCTTTCTGTTTTCTGTGTTACTTTTTGCATCTAACTGTGTATTTATTAACTATGTTACAAATTCATTTGCAATAGCTACTTCTCTAAGAGTTTTGGGTTCACCATCACTTCTGTCATTTGGCAACTTCCCTTTCGAGTAAACCTATTTGCTTTGGAATGTCTTCATGCTCCAGGTAATTCTCTTCTGTTTTTTCTTTCCATTACCTAGGTGGAGCTGGACAGCAAATTTAATAACCATACATGTGGTCTCTGTGGGGATTACAATGGAGTTCCAATCTACAATGAGTTTTTCAATGGAGGTGAGTCATCCTACCATACTGACAGTTATCACAGAAGATAGGCTGATAAGCATTGTGCATAGGAGTATCACAGGAGAGCAAATTTCACGTGAGATTTCTGTGATTGCCTTGGAATAAACATTATGTTTCAGTGCTGTACTCCTGGTCTAAGGTTATTTCATTCCAGATGAATCATCTTGTTCTTTTTTCTACTGGCCTTCTTTTCTCATTACCACTTGAAATTTTTAAGCACTCTTAGACATAATAGACGTAATTCAGAGCAGAGACCTGTGTCTGACAGGCATTTGATACCATAGTAACTGTTTTCCTTGATCAGTAGAGTGCCAGGTATCATATGCCCCTTGCTGTCAATTTTGGGGGCTCAGCAAGTCCTCTTTGTAATTTTTTCTCATAGTTGCAAGCTACAGTTCAATTACATATGGGAATTTACAGAAGATCAGCAAACCCAATGCCAAATGTGAAGATCCTGATGAAACTCAGGCTATTCCAAGCTGTAACGGGCATGTGAGTATTCCTAGTGGTGAACTTCACTTGCATGGGCACATGGAGACATCCTTGTGCTACGGGGAGTTAGTGTGTGAGGAGCTGGGAAGACTTTGTCCCTTCCAGGGCTAATGGTTTCTTCTTCCTTTCTTGAATAACTGTTGCTGTTCAGAATACAGCAGTTTTTATGACAAGACAGGAAGTGTCTAGAAGCTCAGGTGCTTACAAATCTCTTAAATATTATTACTCTTCCTCCTTAGCGTGATGAGTGTGAGAGGTTGCTGACCTCCTCTGCATTTGCTGATTGTCGGTTACGTCTTAATTTGGAAATGTACATCCAAGCCTGCATGCAGGACAAGTGTGCATGCAATGGAAATGAGGACGACTTCTGCCTCTGCAGCACCATCTCTCAGTATTCTCGCCAGTGTTCGCATGCGGGTGGCCGGCCGGGTGAATGGAGGACACAGTATTTTTGCCGTAAGTAGCTATATAAATTTTACAAAAGAAACAAACATTTCATGGACGTAGCACTGTTAAACGTTTAAATTCATTCCTTCTTTACAAAACTATAGGCATATATTATAAATTTCATACCAGTAGTGCAATAAACTACATACTATGTTCTTCCTGTTTTCTTCTTCTATTACCCTTGTTATTAAGAAAACTTTTTCAGCAAGTAGAAATTCTGTTCCCATTAAAAAACTGTAAGGTCTCATGCTGCAGATGACTGGGATAATTTGATCTATTCATGACCAAAAGATGAAAACATAAAAAGCAGGGAAAGCAGTTCAGAAACAGACAAATATGCTTTGCCAGATGGAGTCTGGCTTAGGGCACCACTGACTTGAGGGGAGTAGGGGATATGACCTGTGGTTTCTGAGGAAGGATGGACTTTACACTCAAGTAACTGGTGGCATCTTTCTCATTCTTTCAGCCAAGACCTGTCCTGATACCATGATCTATAAAGAAAGCAGTTCACCCTGCATGGATACTTGCTCACACTTGGAGATCAGCAGCCTTTGTGAGGAACACTACATGGATGGTTGTTTCTGCCCTGAAGGCAAGTGTTATTCTAGTTATTGTATCTGGAACAAAACCAAGAGCTCTGGCAAAGGAAGTCAAAGCTAAAATAGTCAAATTATATCTTAAAAATTAGTACTGCTACTCATTATTTCCCCCCCTAGGGGAACATAATCATAAGGTGTTTAAAAAAGGAGGTCATAATTGATTAATTAATCAATGATTTTATAGTTAAATCATATTAACACAATGAGAGGTAATAAATCTGCTTTTTACTTCTCAACAAATGAACTTCTGCTAATATATAGAAAATCATAGGGTTTAGGTTGAATAATTCTGAGAAAATGGACATCACTTGCAAAGAGAATGATAATGAGGGACAGTGAGTGAAATTCTCAAACTTATTGTCAACCTTAGGAAAAAAGTTTACAATGATAGCCTACAGAGTATGCCAGAAGGACTGAAAATCTAAACGTGTAAAATTTTGAGATTGTTCTTGTATACTTATATCAAGCTTTTCATTTGTGTATAGTTATATAAATGGATAGACTTAGATTTTAAAAGCTGGATAAAAGTGTTTTCCATGTGTCTTGTATTACAAAAAGTAGAGACAGTATTCTTCACAGTTTTGATAATCTCAGCCTCTGCCTTTTGTGTCAAGTTGAGAGCATGCCTCCTCTGAGAGTTTCTTCTGTGGAAATTGCTTATTTCAGAAAGAGCTGGAATAGTTTACTGTTGTGCCTTACAGGAACTGTGTATGATGATATTACTGAAAAAGGCTGCATACCTGCTAGCCAGTGCCACTGCAAACTCCATGGAAAGGAGTATTCACCTGGAGAAAGCATTACCAATGAATGTGAAGAATGGTAAGGATCATGCTTGTTTATACACATTTCTTTGAATGATTGTAAATGGCTCTGTGTTTTTCAATCTTCCACTTAGTCATAGGAAACTTCCTGAAAACATTCTGAATTTAATGTTTAAGTTGTGTGTCTATACAACCAATTTTCTGAAAAGTTTTATTGTAGCTATGGCATATGGCAGAGGGGAAATCTTAAGGAAATGGTCAAAGATACAGTTTTAAAACACCTGGGGATATCTTGCTGTTTGCTATGTATACAGATGCTTTCAGTGCTCTCAGCTCCTGTAATATCTACAAGCATTTTTTTAATTATATGTCTGTTTATAGCACCTGTGATTCAGGCAGGTGGACGTGCAAAGATCTACCCTGTCCAGGCACATGTTCACTGGAAGGAGGTTCCCATATTACCACCTTTGATGGGAAGAAATACACCTTCCATGGAGACTGTTACTATGTGTTAGCCAAGGTACTGTGCACTGTAGGGCTTTTCTCTTGTAGAGTAAATACAAGTGTTTGTGCACTGATGTGTAACAGCTGTGAATTGTTGTTTTATTCCATTTTTATGGGATGTGGGAAGCAGAAATGTTAAAAGCTGTAGTGGATGGGCTGTAACAGCCCTAGGCGGGAGTTGGGCACTTACTGCAATGGATGGTTAACTTAGTCAGATAGTAGACTACGTATGCTGTCATTATCTAGTGGAGTCCTTCATGTATAAGAAATCAAAGGATCACTCTGGCTGCATGGATAGCTAGACTGCAAAAATTGGCAGTTCTCGGGATTAGAAGCTCTCAGTCAGATTTGTAATAGCTGTTTCTGTGTCTGAGTGTCAAAGTCAGCTAGGGAAAGGAGCTAGGCAGCTATTTCATTCATCTGTCCCTAAAATATCTGGTGCCTGTTCTTCTAGAGAATGACAAATGTCTTGAACTAAAAACCATACCACTGAATTTGTTTGAAAGACGGTTCAGCTTCCAGAGCCAGTGCTGAAATGGTGGTCTTAATAGCTAAGTTCTGTAGTAATTGTTATTGTAACTGATGACTTTAGTCTTTGTTTTGGGAATCATCTTGTGAGATTTTTGATTGGACTAATGGACATTTATTTCCCTGTCACTGTAGGGTGTTGTAAATGACAGTCATGCTCTTCTGGCAGAGCTGGCTCCCTGTGGCTCCACAGACAGGCAGACCTGTTTGAAGACTGTTGTGCTGTTAGTAGATCACAAAAAAAATGTAAGTGTGCTGTGGGTTCTGCTAGATATGTTGAAAATTAACATATTTCTCTTACTGTGGAGCAATAACTAATTCTTCTGGAGTTGTTATTGTGGATAGATAAGGCACCTCAGACAGGCTGAAAACCAACTCAGACTTCTGCCTCAAGAACTCAAAATAGACCTAAACTGAACAAAAGATGAGATTCAAATAAGCTGACATTTTCCCCTCTTCCCTTCTCTGCTTTGTGCTATATGATTATTCTTGCTGTATTCCGGACTGGCTGGAAGTAAGAGTACCATTCTTCCTCCCCTCACAGTATTTTACTTTATGCAGATATCATTTTATAGATTTAATTACTCTTTTTCAGAAGAGATCCCATCTTTGGATATTAATACAATCCAACCTTCTTAAATATTTATGTTTTCATTCACTTTAGTATTCTGTTTGGTTATGGGAATATCTAGACTATATTTATACATAATTTTACATACATGTACACATAATTTTCCTCCTGTGTCTTCCATGTCCTTGCCAGCATAATTAGAACAAAATCAAACCAAATCAGAAACCCATCATTTTATGTTTCTGTATATACAGACTAGCATTTTATGAGGAAGTTAAACAAACTGCTTTCTTACTGTGTCAGAATCATACTAAACCATTACACTGAAGCTGTGGCACATGCTTTTATAGGGAATAGGAACTTGCTATAGATCCTGAAGGCCCAATATTTTCTTTCACTTGCTGATCCCAAGATGCCCAGTATAAACAAGCTTTGCATTTCGTTACTGCTATAAATTGTTGTAGGCAGGTGTAAGTGAAACACTGAATAGCAAGATAAAACCTTGCTTGTACCCTACAGGTCTGCTGCCGCATTCAATTTTCAGACAGATTCTTCCTTTCAAGGATTTTAAGTTCTAGTCACAGTCTAAATGTGCAAAATGTCTCCCCTCTTAATTTTTTTTTATTAGTTCCTTTTTCTCTCAGTACTTGGAACCTCATTGATTCTATTTGCTATTATACAGGTGGTGGTTTTCAGATCAGATGGCAGTGTGTTACTGAATGAGATGACAGTGAATGTGCCTTATGTGTCAGGTAAGGGACATAGCCTTGTGTGTCATGTGTCACACACCTGACTTCTCGTGTGGGGGTGTATTTTTGCAGAGGAAAAAGTGGAAGAGAAGAATATGAATTTTGTTCAGATTTTGGAACAGCTTGGGGATGAATGTGATTTAACAGTCATCACTGAGAATTTCATGGGCAGACTAACTCTGTGTACAGCGGATGATTGAAAAAAATGTCCCTTCACTTTTTTCATACATCTTGAATATACTTCTGCATGTAGCTTGGGAAAGAGGAATTGTCATGGCTTAAATTTAAAGCAGAAAACTTAACCTTCCTATAAAAAAGGGTATTTAACACTTTCCAAGTCTGGCTACATGATGTGGGCATATCCTGGCTCTCAGTCATGGTGAGGCTCAGGCATGTCTACCCCACCCCACTTCTTCCCCATGCTTTTTTTTTTTCCTGTGGGAAGAAAGCCTGGCAGAAGGTAACTGTTGTATTTTCTGGTCAACCAGGGCAGGAAAGAAGGATGTACTGTGTAGCACCCTCTCATCTTCCCAGCTCACTTGAGACATGAGCATCTTTTTATATAATCAGTGGATTTAGACAGACACTTTCAGAGGCTGACTCAGATCACCTAATTTAGGAGCCTAGCTTCTCGTGGAAGGTCACTATCAGACAGCAGCTGTGAGCTCTGGGAGTAACTTTTGAAAGGAATGTAGAACTTTGCTTTACCACTCCTTTTTAGATATGTTCAGGCAGCACACTGGCACAGTATGTGTTGCTTGTTTACTGGCCTATCTGATGGCAAGTTACTTGCAAGAAAGTAATTCTTTATCTGAAAGGACAAAAATTCATGGGATGATACATTCATGAATGCTTGCACAAAAACAATTAAAGCATGTAGCTGAAAGTTCAGAGAAATTTAAGTGCTGTAGGCAATAAAATAGACCATCTAATAAGTAGATTAAATAGATAAATAGAGCATATAATAATAGATTTGCTATAAAAAATTGGTTAGCCAGTAGATGCTGTTTTTTTGGACTTTAGCAAATCTTTTGATACTGTCTCTCAGAGTATCCTTCTGGACAAAATGTCCAGCACACAGCTAGACAAGTCCATAATACGTTGGGTTAACAATTGGCTGACAGATCAGGCTCAAAGAGTTATAGTAAATGAGGTTACATCAGGCTGGTGGCCAGTCACCAGTGGGGCTCTTCAGGGCTCAATTTTAGGGCCAGTGCTCTTTAATGTTTTTATACATGGTCTGGATGCAGGAGTCGAATGTACATTAAGTAAGTAAGTTTGCCAATGATACTAAATTAGGAGGAGCTGTGGACTCCCTCAAGGGTAGAGAGATCTGAATAGACTAGAGAGCTGGACAACCAGGATTACCCTGTCCCAGGTGCAGAATCTGCCATCTGCCTTGTTAGATGGCAGATTCTGCACCTGGGACAGGGTAATCCTGGTTATACATAGAAATTGGGGGATGAGAGCATGGAGAACAGCCCTACAGAAAGAGATCTGGGGGTTTGGGTTGATGGCAAGTTGAATATGAGTCAACAGTGTGTCCTGGCAGCCAAAAGGGCCAACCATGTCCTGGGGTGCATGAAGCACGGCGTAGCTAGCCGGTCAAGGGACATGATTGTCCCACTCCACAATGCACTGTACTGTAGGCAGTTTTGGGCACCTCAATATAAGAAGTATATCAAACTATTCGAGTGTCCAGAGGAGGATGACCAAGATCGTGAAAAATCTTGAGGGCCAGACTTATGAAGAGCAGCTGAGGTCACTCAATTTGTTCAGTTTAGAGAAGAGAAGGCTGAGGGGTGACCTCATCACAGTCTACAACTTCCTCAAGAGAAGCAGCGGAAAGGGAGGTGCTGATCTCCTCTCTCTGGTGATCAGCGATAGGACACGAGGAAATGGTACGAAGCTCCGTCAGGGGAAGTTCAGATTGGACATTAGGAAAAGATTCTTCACTGGGAGGGTGGTCGGTTGCTGGAACAGGCTCCCAAGGGAAGTGGTCAGGGCACCAAGCCTGTCAGAGTTTAAGGAGCGTCTGGATGACACTCTTTTAGTCATATGGTTTAGTTTTAGGTAGTCCTGTGAGGAGCAGGGAGTTGGACTCGATGATCCTTACGGGTCCCTTCTAACTTGAAATATTCTATGATTTTATGATTCTAATTAGGAAGCCCAGTTCCTCCATTATGCTGATTTTGTACATCAGTTCTGCTGATTTTTCTATAATGGCTTGATTAACTTGTGTATAAGCATCTAACATTTTAGTAGTAGCAGTATTTAGCTATGTATTGGCTTGTAGAGACACACCTATTATTTTTTGTATGCAACAGTGCTGGGATAATACTTCCTCAGAAAATCTCTTGCTCTTCAGATTGCTCAGCATTAATTAATGAGTTAGCATTGAAGCTGTATTGCAGAAAATCTGAATTTGGTTCTGATCCCAGGGATGAGTCATTATAGGTAATCAACCTGTTAAGTTAGTGGGGACCAGCATTGTATCTAGTTGGCCAGCGATTTTTAGAGGAAAAAAAAGATTAATTTGATCCTGATCTCAGAGTTTTCATGGCAGGTGATACCTTAGAATCTAATAAGTGTTTCTTTCAGCAGCCTATGTGTGTGTTTACTGCACAGTTCATGTTTTGTTTTTCAGCCAGCTTCTCAGTATTCAAGCCATCTTCCTACTACCTTGTTGTACAAACTTCTTTCGGGCTTCAGCTGCAGATCCAGTTGTTTCCAGTCATGCAGCTGTTTGCAACTGTGGATCAATCAGTTCAAGGAAAACTTCAAGGCAAGTGTGTATTCAAATGGGAAGCAAAGCCATGCTGTTCCACAGCTGAAGAGTCATGTATTCTTTACATGAGTGATAATTCCTGCTTCTTATTGGTTCAAGAGGAGGAAACTAAAAGCAGAAACCAAAACATTGGAAGACAATTGACTCAAGCAAACTAGAAATGCATTTTTATTATTCCATATTGAAGTGACCTATCACTCCGGTGTCAGTACATGAATGTTTCTTAGAATATTCCTTTCTTTTGTATTCAGTTTAATTTTTAACTATCCACAAAACCTGGCTTTTGGCGCATTTTGTGGTTTTAATATGATCAGAAAGCATAAAAAATACAGGTTAGGGTGGTGATCTCCTGAGGCAGAGATATCTTCATGAAGACTATTCTTCTCAAGATGTTAAAGATTTAAAATAGGGCTCCTAAATCTTCAGTACTTACAGTATGCATTAATATTGAGATGGAATAATCAGCTGTATGAACTTCTGTTTCTAATGTTTGTGATTAGTTGTCCTTTTCCCTTTGACCTTTTAGAATGAGAATAAGTAATAATCAGGTAAAATTTTTACCTTCTTTTTCAATAGGTCTTTGTGGAAACTTTAATGGAATGGAAGGTGATGACTTTAAAACAGCCAGTGGGCTGGTAGAAGCTACAGGATCTGCCTTTGCTAACACATGGAAAGCTCAGTCCACCTGTACAGACCAGGTGGAAAAGCTGGAAGACCCCTGCAGTCTCAGTATTGAAAGTGGTAAGCACACTAATAAGTCAGATGGTTGGCTTCTGCCAGAATGAGCATTTGCTGTATGTTACTGCAACAGGCGTGTGAGAGTTGTACTGTGGCACTGAAGTTTTTTTAGAGGACTGTCAAATTAATAATTCATTTCTGCAAGTATGTATACAAATGAGCACTGATTTCCCATCAAATTGAAGTGAAAGTTTAGGGGGTGATTGTAGAGTAATCCTGAGTTGGAAGATAGGGAAGCAAGGTCATTAATTTATATTATCTGCAAAGGCAGCTTGTATTTCCTAGTATTATTTATCCCTATGTTTAACTTAGCATTATGGTGCTCAAATGGAAAGGGCTGTCACAATTCCATGTAGACAAGTTGCAGCAGTGAGGTACGATTTTTTATTTTATGATTGCATGTCTACTGCTAGATAACTGAATCAGCAAATAGAAATATAGGTACAGTGACTGCATGTAGTTTCTCCACTCCCAAAAGTGCACACAGTTCTCTCATTTGTATTGTTGCACTGCATTTGTGTGACAACATAACTAGACATGGCACAAGGAAGATAAGTGAATGTAGTTAATATGATGATATAATTTCATTTTTCTCCTCTTTTGCAGCAAATTATGCCGAGCATTGGTGTTCTTTGCTGAAAAACTCAGAGGGTCCTTTTGCAAGATGTCACTTAATCATTGATCCTTCAGACTACTATAAGGTATTGTAATCTTGCACTCTTTTTAGTACTGCTTTATTTCAGATTGATGACTATAGACATTTATCATTGTTCAAACATTTGAGACATTACTGAGTAGCTTGCCCATAAGAGCTGGTGAAGTTTTTACAGTGATTAACCAAGGCAGCATAACATGCATCCAAAGTATCTCCTATTATGAGATTCCTATGGAATGCTGCTGAAGAAAAAGGTAAATTTGTTCTGGTTTCTTATGTTTTGTATTTAATGTACATTTTTATTGGATTGGATATTTGAGCTGGAAAGAAAATTCAAGAGATGCAGTTTTGCACAGAAAGTTTAAGTCTACCCTTACACACTAGTTGCTATAAGTCAAGCAAAAAAAAAAAAAAAAAGTAAATATTTATTAAGTTTCCTGTATTGGTTGGGATTTTCATGCCAGAATCTCCATGTTTTCTTTTTCCCCTGTGCTCATTACTGTTGAGCAGTAAGTGAAGCCTACCTGAGCAAAAAAGGAGAAATTCCTAAGTCTTTGCTCATAACTGGAACTCAGTCTGAGCTCAAATTTTGTGAAGATCTTTATAGATCTGGTTAATATTTTGCCATTATGTTTTTTAATTTTTATGAATCTCTGCATTTCTAAGTTGTAACTGAGAAAGAATGGTATCAAAATCCTTTAAGAAAGGCATTGTTAGGAGGCTAGCTACTTTTTAAAGGTTCAAGAGGCTTGGCTTAGATTAGGAGAAGCATCCAAATGTTTTCATTGTGTATGAAATGAAGCAGCACTTTCAGTCTCTGGTCTTTGTCCATTCCTTCCACTGTTCTCTGATCATGGGAATTAATAAAAACAATGTCAGAAAAAGGACACAGGATATTTCATAGCAACTGAGTTGCAATTGCCCATTGGCTTCCTATGGGCTTACTGACCCTTTCGTTCTTTATTCAGAAATGTAAATATGACACCTGCCTCTGTGAAGACAATGAAAAATGCTTGTGTGCTGCCCTGTCTTCTTATTCAAGAGCCTGTGCTTTCAAAGGGATCATACTGGGAGGCTGGAGAAAAAGTGTCTGCAGTAAGTAGTGGAACTGTAACTGCCGTGGAATTAATTAACCACAAGAAATAAGCAGGTTCTCTCTGAATTTGGTTGTCAGTGATCTCAATGTTAAGGGATTTGGAGTATCTTAGAAACGTCTAATGGACTTAAAAGAGACAATGCTTATAATGTTTACTATATTCTTTAGCTGTCATTTGTTCATGACATTTAAAAGTAGAAAGCAATATTTTTCACTTTCACCTTCTTTCCGCAGTTTAAATAATAATGCTGTTTCTGTCTTTGACTAATGGAATCCCAGCCATCACAGCTTTTACATTGCCTTTGCTTATCAGTGTCTTTGTTTATCGTTGTGCTTGCTTTTCATCAACAGTACAGTATTGTTGAGACTAGGATTTTATTATATTGTGCTTGCTCTCTGATTATCAGTATGTGAAACAAATATGGGTATGAAAGTAAAAACTATTAGTAGCAGTTAAAAAGAAGTCTTCAACTGGTAAACAAAGTTAGGCTAGCATTACTTGTGACTTATGATATTTTTGTACTTTAATAAAATCTAAGGGATTTTTACCATTTTTACCATTACGTGCTGCACAGCCAAAGAAACCGAAACAGAAATGTCAAGGTTAAATTGTCCATCCTGCATCCCTTATTTATCAGTTTGTTTATTTTCTCTCCAGCTAGGGAAGTGTCTGCCTGCCCAGGAAATCAAATCTTCCTTTACAACCTTACAATGTGCCAGCAAACCTGTCGTTCCCTTGCTGATGGTGAAAAACATTGCTTGCAAGACTTTGCTCCTGTGGATGGCTGTGGCTGCCCATATAATACATACTTGGATAACAAGGATACCTGTGTGCCCATCTCCAAGTGCCCATGTTTTTACAAGGGATCATACTTGGAACCAGGGGAATATGTCACAAAAGATGGAGAACGTTGGTATGTTTTATTGTGGCTTCTTGTTTGTGGGGATAAAAGCCCTTTTTAAATTTACTTATTAGGTGTAAGCTGCTTAGCTTTTTTTGGTGCTTTAATGAACATTTGTAATACGTTTTACACCATCTTCATGCTGAGCAAAGCATCATCCTGTTGCAATGTCATTTATTAATAACTGAGAAGTGCAGCTTTGTTTAGAGGTGTGAGTACTGGCCTTCACAGATAAACGTTACTCTGAAGCTGCACTGTTAATAGGGCTTTGTTGAGCAGAGGGGTAAAAGGAAGATAAAAGGCTAGCTATGATGTTATGGTGCTGTTTCCTTTTCTGTCAGAGACAGATTACTTGTGTTTTCCACTGGAGGAAGGTCCCCTTGATATGTATTTACTGTAGCATAGGCTTTTGAAAGCAACTTTCATGATGCTGGTATTTTTTATCATGAACTCTGACAACTGTTTGCTGCATGAATCATCAGTGCAAACTGTGAAATACTTCCTTCTCTCATCCGGCAGATGAAGCATACAGGCCAACAAATTTGCAGCATATGAGTTGAATAGGCATGAAATTATACTGTGTATCCAAATGAAGGCTTTGATTTAAATTATCATTATTATCTGTTTCCTGAGTCATCAAAAAGCATGATATTAAGGATTAATAGAATAGCTGTCATTACTTAAAACATAACCTTTCTGTGCATTATGCCTAAAATCTTGCTACATTTTTTCTCCAAGTGAAAATTCATGAGTGTGCTTCAATAGAGTTCACCTTGAAATAGCAGTAGAAATTACGCAGGACGTCTCTGATAAATACTGTCAAATTTATATAAACAAATCCTTAGATTTAAATTTAAGACACTGAGCTTACTTCTTTTTTAATTTGTACTTACTTCACTTCTTTTCTAGTGTTTGCCGAAATGCAAAGGTCCAGTGTACTTCAGTGACAATAAGAACAAAGAGTAAGTGACATTATATAAAGTAAAATAAAATAAAAACCATAACCCAACCTCCAAACCCAAACCTACACTTTCCATTTGAATTCTCCACTTACTTGTTTTGCATGTTTGTTTTTTCTCTTTATGTGAAGCAGCTGCACATTTTCACTTTGTTCTGTCTTCACCGAGTCTCTTTTTTTCATGAGGGTAGACATACCCTGAGATTCCTGTCTTAGTAACTACCATCTTTCACACACATTTCTTTTGCCTTTTCTTGATTCAACTAAACCAACAATGTACCTTTCAGATGCAACAGAATGTTCTTCTAACAAGATGTACTTTGACTGCAATGCATCCCCAAAGTGGACTTCACAAACGCCTGTACAACTTGGCTGTCATACTCCTCGAACTGATCATGTATGTATTCAATTTTTCTCCATGTCATGTTTCCTTTATTCTGCATTCTTTAAATGACACAGTGCAACACAGAAAATGCAGTTGTAACTAACAGTTTATTTCTCTTTGGTTTAATCTTCCTTTCTTTTCTCTGCAATGATATTACTCTGTTGACAATTTCATGATGATTCCCCTTATGGTTTCCCTCTCCTGTTTCTTTTTACAGTGTCTTCAGTAGGGTCATACCTCCCAAGTGAAATATGATTTGGGTTCTTAGACAATCAAAAAAGAAAAGAAAAACATTAGAAACCTAGAAAGAAAAACCTTATAAAACTAATCAATATTAGGCTGTTTGGTTATAAATGCAGTTTTTACTTGAGTGTTTATAAAGAAGTGGAAGAAAAATGCATGGCTTTTTCGTAAAGTAACAATTTCTCCTTATATTCCTTAGTTCCAGGCAGAGTGTGTCTCAGGCTGTGTGTGTCCTGAAGGTCTATTTGATGATGGGAAAGGGGGCTGTGTTGAGGAGAAGGACTGCCCATGCATTCATAACAACCAGTGGTATTCTCCTGGACAGAAGATAACAGTGGACTGCAACACCTGGTAAGTTATAACTTTGTACTCTCTTCTAGAATATATTCTATGCAGTGAATTAATAGTCATGTTATGTACAGGCTTATGTACTACAGTGGCTGAGATAGCTGCAAGTATAAACCTTCGTTTTCAGGCATAATTTTTTCTATCTGAGGAAATACAGATTGTGCTGAAAATATTGGAGTAATAGCTACCTCTGTTTTCAGTAGGCATCTCTTATTGGGAAAGTGCACTCATTTTTTAAATATAAATGCTATCAGATTAAAAAATGTAGCTGGCCAGAGTTAAAAATCATGTTATAGGCTTAAAAACAGGCTAAACTATTGAAGCTGAGACTTAAGACACTCTGTAACACTGAAATGGGTATTGTGGACATTATCACATTGTATCAGGTAGCTGCTTGGTTTGTTCTGCAGTTTTCCAAACAGCACACTCTTGGTGCAATTTGAAAATTCAACTCTTCTGCTCTCTTCTAGTACCTGCCAAAAAGGGGTTTGGAGCTGCACTGAAGATGTGTGCTATGGGACTTGTATGATATATGGAAGTGGCCATTATATCACCTTTGATGGAAAATTCTATGACTTTGATGGGAGTTGTGAATATGTGGCTACTCAGGTAATGTTTATCAGGAGGGCTGAAATGGCATCCAATTGCCTTGAAGATCTACTTTCTTCTTTGGTTTTGTCATTCCTTATTGCCTGCCATCACTGTCCCTGAGGTGTTTACACATTCTGCCAAGACAAATTCTGTATTTTCAGTGCAGGCAAGCTGTGTGAATGGATTTTTTTTTCTGATAAAAAAAAGCGGTCATAAATTGTATGTAACAGGACTATTTTATATTGAGAGCTAACAGCTCATTTTCAGTTGTGAAATAAATCAAAATTTTAAGTTTACAAAACAAAGACATTTCTATTTAAAGATATATTCCTCATTTTGTTTTATTGGCCCACTTGTTTCACAGATTTTGCCACACATGAGACTGTATTAGCAGTTTATATGTATGCAGAGATGTATGTGTATATGTTCATGTGTCTGTAAAAATATATGCATGTAGGATTTCACATATGAAGCAGCAGTAACGATTTATACATTGTGAAGATTTAAACGATTGTAATAATTATGAGACTGAAGTAAAAATTAAATATTCTACCTAATTTTCTTATGCTCATTTTTTCCTTTTTAAATAGGATTTTTGTGGTGACAAAAATTCCAGCAGCTCATTCAGTATCATCACAGAGAATGTCCCTTGTGGAACTACAGGAGTCACCTGCTCAAAAGCTATTAAAATGTTTCTAGGGGTGAGTAATGATACTCAGTGAGTATATATCGATATTCAAATATTTCAAAAAAAGTAATGCTCCAAAGCCACATCCCTAAAAGCAGCTATAACAAGTAAAGGTTAGAGGCCCTATCAAATTAATCTGTAAAGGTGTAGATTCTCAGGTACTGAAACGTCTCTCAGTGGTGTTACACCACTTTCTGTCACCTTGGAAAGTCATCCCAGACTTTGAGCTACTGGTTTCAGAAAGACTTGTATTCTTATGAGCATCTAATATTTTATCTCATCATAAAAGTTAGTGTTACAATATTTCTCTTTTTATCTTTCAGAAAACAGAACTGAAATTGGAGAACAAAGATTATAAAGAAATTCAGCGAGATATTGGTGATGATGTGCGTTATGGGAACAGGACAGTAGGCCTCTACCTCGTTATTGAGGCTAGCAATGGTGTGATGCTCATCTGGGATAAGAAGACTACTGTTTTCATCAAGTTGACCCCTGATTACAAAGTTAGGACCTGTCTGTCTTTTTCTGAAGTAGTAGTATGAATAGATAAATGAGATAAGGAAACATAAATGTTCTTTTATTCTGACTCCATGTTTAATTCCTATATCCTTTGCACATTGATGATTAGCTTGCATTATTACTACCAGAGCTTGCAGAGGTGCTACTGGAGTTCCTTACAGTCCATCACGATGCATTGCAGAGGATGCATAGCATATGATTGCAATAAAGCTAAATGTCTAAGGCATTCTGAGTTTGTGAATATTAAAAGCCAAGCACCCGAAGTAATTTAGGGGATGCAAACTGTACATGTTCTGTACATGCACTGTACCTGCATGTACATGACTCTTCATGCACTTGGAAACCTGCATGGAATCTCAGCCCTGAGTTAAAACCAAACTCCCTATGCAATGCATAGAGATGGTTCTGATTTCTGAAAATCAGCATGCTGAATTATAGAGTACTGAATTCATTGGGCTGATTGAGGAGGTGTGGGGTTGTATAAACAGGGACATACTGTTGCTTGAGGGGGCTGATGTACCTTAAATAACACTACCAAAAATTCACTATTGTGGGTAAGTTGTTAAATTCTTTCTTTTGAGAAAAATGAGTCACTGTCATTTTTTTTTCCGTGGATGAAGAAATGGTGTTCATTATGTTAGAAGCTTTTAATAAAAACAGTTTTGAGCAGAATTAAATTCCCTCAGGCTTATATTAATAGCTGAGTTATGATAAACTGAGAAGAATGGAAAATAAATTAATTCCTCTCAACTGAAAGAGGCTTAGCCTCTCTTTAGTGTTATAAGTTGGATGAAGGGCTACCACAGAGACATGGAAATACACTAGATATCATTTGTTTCAAGTAAGGAAGACATGGCAGCTGAATAGTTTGCTGAGTACACAGACAAATAAAGGTTTAGTTTTTGTACAAATGATTCGGAAGTAAAGATGAAAATATGTCATTTACACAGAGAGTCAGTTGTCCTTTTTAATGTCAATGTTTTTCTCTTACTTTGCTAGAGTGTCACTTCCATGGTACATTTAAAAGCTGTGGATATGTTAATTTTCTTTTCCAGGGCAAAGTGTGTGGTCTGTGTGGCAACTTTGATGACAAGTCTAACAATGACTTTACAACAAGGAGTGGGCTGCAGGAGACTAATGCTCTGAAGTTTGGGAATTCCTGGAAACAGTCTTCCATGTGCCCAGATATCACACAAGAGATAAAGCCCTGTGATGTGAAACCGCATCGGAAGTCCTGGGCAGAGAAAGAATGCAGCATCATCCGGAGTGAAGTCTTTAAAATTTGTCACTCCAAGGTTTGTAGAGGGCAGTAAGTGATGGGACAGCACAGTGCATTTCTGTTACTGCAGAAGCAGAGAGATCATCAGAAATGAATGAAGAGATGGTTAAATAGAGTGATCTTCAATTAAGTCATCAGTACAGCTACAGGTGTCAGCACATTCCAGCTAGCCTTAGTCAAAGAAGTTTGAGTGTCTGTGGCAACAGGACTGTGTCAGTAGCGGTGCCAGCCATGGTTGTACAAGCCCATATTCATCACCATAGTTTCATTGCTACTGCTGTGCAAGCTAGCTTCATAAATCTAGCCTGAATAGGTCTGTGTGTGCTGCAGTTGCACCATCTCTTGTTGAGACACTGTCAATACTGTGAGTTCTGAAAGGCCTTGCGATCATCAGACCCATTTTCTGACAGAAATGCATACTATACTTGAAAGGTGGCTGTTGAAGACACCACTGCTCCTTATAATATTCAACCCACAGAAGGGATCTTCTTGGAAACCACTGACATTGCGCAGTTTAGACAGGCTTAGCTGCTAGTACTGTGCCTCCAAATTGTCATAGCAAACACTATGTCAGGCCCACAGCTTCCAGAGCACAGTGCACAGAGAGCACTCCTCTCTATTTCTTGTCTCTTTCCTGAAGTATGGTAATATTAACAACAGTTTGTTCTTAACTTACAGTGGAAAAGTCACAAAGAGTTAATTTAATTGACTTAGAATCACAGAATCATAGAATCATTTAGGTTGGAAAAGACCTTTAAGATCATCAAGTCCAACCATTAACCTAGCATTGCCAAGTCCACCACTAAACCATGTCCCTAAGCACCACGTCTACATGTCTTTTAAATGCCTCCAGGGATGGTGATTCAATGACTTACCTGGGCAGCCTCTTCCAATGCTTGACAACTCTTTCAGTGAAGAAATTTTTCCTCATGTCCAATCTAAACCTCCCTGGCCATTTCCTTTTGTCCTGTCACTTGTTACTTGGGAGAAGAGACTGACACCCACCTTACTACAACCTCCTTTCAGGTAGTTGTAGAGAGCGATAAGGTCTCCCCTCAGCCTCCTTTTCTCCAGGCTAAACAACCCCAGTTCCCTCAGCCGCTGCTCATAAGACTTGTGCTCTAGACCCTTCACCAGCTTCGTTGCCCTTCTTTGGATGCGCTCCAGCACCTCAATGTCCTTCTTGTAGTGAGGGGCCCAAAACTGAACACAGTATTCAAGGTGCGGCCTCACCAGTGCCGAGTACAGGGGTACAATCGCTTCCCTACTCCTGCTGGCCACACTATTTCTGATAGAAGCCAGGATGCTATTGGCCTTCTTGGCCACCTGGGCACACTGCCAGCTCATATTCAGCCGGCTGTCGCCCAACACCCCCAGGTCCTTTTCCACCAGGCAGCTTTCCAGCCACTCTTCTCCAAGCCTATAGTGTTGCATGGGGTTGTTCAATATGTGTTTCTCTGTTGATTCCTTCAGCAGCTAAAATCCAGTCTAAGTTTCTCTTCTTGCAGTCCCAAGCAAAAAAGTGGAAATGTTTTGCTAATGTGTCATTAGATAAACTCCAAAAACTGGCAAGCGCAAAATTCTCTGCTTTATATTTGCTGTGAAGTGCAACCTTTCTGATATTGCTCACCACTTGGTTGGCAAAGCTTGCTGGAAGATAAGACTTCATTGGCACCAATCCAACTTGGTTTTGAGAGCAGTAAAATGGAAATCTGTTAGAAAATGTGGGCATTGCCAAGGACTCCTATTTTATTGTTTCAGTCATAGCAAATTATGAAGGTACGATATTACTTTAAGTCTATTATTATCCAAAATACATTAAAGCAGCTTCAAGCCTATAATGTTTGTCTGTGATTTGGTAATTCTTAGAAACAGTCCCATTCCTGCCCAGCTCAATTCCCATGTCTCAAGAGATGTCTCAAGCTTACTAGTTTGAAAACTAATTTGGAGATGAACTGGGGCAACATTTCTTTCCCCAACAGGTGGACCCAATTCCTTTCTATGAAGCTTGTGTTCATGACGCCTGTTCTTGTGACAGTGGTGGAGATTGTGAGTGCTTCTGTTCTGCAGTTGCTGCATATGCTCAAGAATGTACCAAGGCTCAGGCCTGTGTTTTCTGGAGAACTCCTGATATATGCCGTGAGTAACAGTTAAGCACAACTTCATCTTTCTGGCTACTGTCAAAAAACCTATCAAATAAATCATTAATACTATCACTGCAAGGTTGTGCTGGCTATGCAATGCAATTTATTTTCATGGCATATTAGGGAACAAACAGAACGAGTAAATTTGTATATTTCAATTATCTTTTATTCAGCCTGGCTTTTCCTCCTTTTCCCTTTCCCTTTCCCTTTCCCTTTCCCTTTCCCTTTTCTTTCCTCCTCCTTCTTCTTCTCTTTTCTTTTCTTTTCTTTTCTTTTCTTTTCTTTTCTTTTCTTTTCTTTCCTTTCCTTTCCTTTCCTTTCCTTTCCTTTCCTTTCCTTTCCTTTCCTTTCCTTTCCTTTCCTTTCTTCATTAAAACCACCATCGTTTCCCTTCCGGGGTGGCTTTCTTTCTTTCTTTCTTTCTTTCTTTCTTTCTTTCTTTCTTTCTTTCTTTCTTTCTTTCTTTCTTTCTTTCTTTCTTTCTTTCTTTCTTTCTTTCTTTCTTTCTTTCTTTCTTTCTTTCTTTCTTTCTTTCTTTCTTTCTTTCTTTCTTTCTTTCTTCATTAAAACCACCATAGTTTCCCTTCCGGGGTGGGTTTCTTTCTTTCTTTCTTTCTTTCTTTCTTTCTTTCTTTCTTTCTTTCTTTCTTTCTTTCTTTCTTTTTTAAATTAAGGCTAGGTTTCAAGTCATCCTTCCATTTTGCTTGATAATTTGTGAACTGCAACTCCTCTTTGTCTTTCTCCTCTCTTTTTTTCAAATTATTCAGAATTTGATTTTAGCAAAAGTATATAGAAGTACTGCTGTGTAGATGAACCTAATCAATACTGAGTATATTAAGTACTGTCCATTAGTGGTGCTTATGCTCATACCAGTACGTCATAAAATAATGTAAAATAATATTTAAATTAATATTTCCCCGAAAAGTGCTCAAAACAAAATTTTGAGATTCTAAGTGGCAGAAAGTAAAATATTTTAATTTTAAAAATTCATTCTGATTTGGATTAAGGCTAGAGTGTTTAATATGAAATTCTTGGGCCCCAGAGTTTTGACCCCAAATTTTGATGTACCCTATGTTTAAGTATAGTAGAAGAAAGTTTAGGTCCTATACCTCAAGAGAAATTTCGCTGCTTAACATGTAGATTCATTTAGCTTGTACTTTAAAGACCTGATCAGAGCTGCATTCTCGCAACCGTCTTTTTAATTAGCTTTTCTTTTTTTCTCATCAGCGGTATTTTGTGACTACTACAACCCTCGTAATGAGTGTGACTGGCACTATGAGCCTTGTGGCAGTAATGTCACGACCTGCAGGATGATTAATAATGTCAGCACCAACTTTTCAGTACCATACCTGGAAGGTAATAAATTCCTTGCCATTTTTGTTTTTTATTTCATAGAACTTTGTCCAGGTATCATTTAATGAATATGGAATAGTCAGTCAGCTTGACAAGATGCTCCTAAATCTGTTATGTTGAATTTGTCTCCAGTCTTACATAAATGTTTCCTATAATGTAATTTATTATTTATTAGCATCAGTGGGTGATAGTTACATTGCTGTCAGCCATAAAACTAGGTCTCTGCTTGGATAATGTCCTGAAACGTGCAAGATTATTACACCTTTGTTATTTCTCATCTCATCCTAAGGGCATTTCAAGAGAAGGAAAATATTTTACGTGGCAAAGAAGAAAGTCACTCATAGTTGGGGTTTTTTGAACCTCATCATTCTTCATGCATCAGATCCATCTTGACTTTATCAGATTAATGTGCAGCATACTCCTATCTTTACAGTGGAAAATATCTTTGATATTAGACACACTGATGCTGCTATATATTGGATACTTAACGGAGACCACAAAATATTGTCAGAGGGCTACTGGGGGCTACCTCCATTTTTAGTGTATTTTATTTATAGTTTTTTGTTTAGGCTTTAAGACCAAGGCTAAAACAGGTTATTCTGCATTCCATCCCACTTACAGGATGCACAAGCCATTTAAATCCCATTGAACTCTTCAAAGTATGTAGAGATATGATATTAGTAGGTGAAAGTCCTTGTGTTTAATAACTGAAAAGGAATTTCACGTTATGGGGACTGCAACGGTCCAAGAATGTGAATGACTTTACAAATATTTTCTGTTTTACCACATGATAAAGTTGGAAAAAACAGCCACGTTTTTGACCACACAGTCATTTTGGTCTGGACTGGAAACAGTTGTCTCAGGTTTAGGGATTGGAAAGAACTGCCCAGAGTTGGACTTTGCTATTTTAATCCTAGAACTGCTGGAAAGAAAACAAAAGTAAACCCAAAAAACCCTAACCAAAATATTTAAAAAAAAAAGTTAACTCTGTTTTGAAATGGGTTGTCTTAGATTATTAGAAAGATTTGGAAAGTGTCAGAAGGCATATTATTATATATCCAATTATCTTTCTAAATTATTTTTGGTTTTTATCTTCAGTGGAAATATAGAACACAACTTTTGTTAGGACATCTTTAGTACAGTCTGGCAGTGTGAAGTGACTTTTAACTACAAGTTAATTACATGGTCATTCAGTTTATAGGCTATTTACAACTCCAATACGGTATAAAGAGGACTTTATGTAATTAAGAATTTGGATTTTATGAGAGTTTATTTGAAAGCAGGACACAATAATTTTTTAAAAGTGTATTTACATGAAAAATACAATGAGAATTGACAGATGTTTAATCCTTTGCAGTTGGGGTTTGGGTCACTGGCCAAGGGTACAGAAAAATGCAGATAAATTATCTGTTTGGGGTTGAGATACCTGGTCTATTAAAGGCACATAAACAAGGTCTAGTGTTCCAATAAATGTAGTGAAAAACCTTTTGTTAATTAATCCACTTCCATATTCTTCACAAAAGTGTTATTGATATAGTGATCACATTTCAATATCTGTAGAAAAATTGGGATGTTTCTTTGTCTTAAAATTACTATCTGCCCATAGAAATTAATATAAATTAGGAGTTTCTCCAAGATCTTGAACTAGAAAAAAACAACTTCCCTAGTTTTCATGACTAAACTTATTTAATCCTCCTCACCCCAGTATTATCAATAAGAATTGTTTGATTTAAGTCTTTTGTAAAGAATAATTGTCCAAGGACTAATTTGAATTGGAATTTTTTTATTTCTTTCACTATGCTTGATTCAGTGAGAATCATTTACTTTCAGAAGGTATCATTGAGTTAACTCTTTATACTTTTTCTTCATCCTGTTCTATTTGTCATCAACAGGTTGCTACCCCAGATGCCCTAAGGACAAGCCTGTTTATAATGAAGAGACAAAGGAATGTGTGCCTGGAGATAAATGTTGGTGTTACATCAATGGTGTTACACCACCTATTCCCCCTGGGAGTGAAATAATCACAGAAGAGAACTGTACAAAATGGTATATAAAAAATGCAAAAACATTTGCAGTAATTCAGGAAATAATTTATGTATGCTGAGCCCCTAATTTACTTTACTAGGCCTCAAGCAAATAAAGATGCAACTTCAACTGAAGAGCTGGTATATTCTAGCATTTACCTATACAAATCAGAGGAACAATGCCGATTATTCCAGTTGAGACTTAAACTCAAAAAATGCTGCACTTACAATACGTATAGATTTTAAACTTTTCATTCACAATTTTCCAAACCCATAAAATCCAGATTTCAGGTTGATAGTGTCATTATAGTAACTGTATTATCAAATTCATTAAATATACTCTTCGAAGTGTCATAAATGATATAATGGCATGAAACCTGGGTCTGTCTCTAGAACAACCTTTTGATTCTCATGGCTCTTTGGGAAGAGAGTGGCTACTCTGCCTTGCATTCTCACTTAAAACTGCGATTTCAAAATCACTGTAGTCTGAAATGATCTCTACTAGCCCTGATAGAGATAGTTGAGTCCTAACTGCTCATTCCTAGGACCTTACTAATGATAGCACTGACATCTATGACTCCTCAGAGGCAAAAAAATACTGATCTAGCTGTAAGTTCATTGCTCTGAAGAACAGTTGTTATTATTACACTATTGCAACTTGCAACACAAAGTGGTTCATGATAGTTTTAAGATGTTGTACTTAAAGAATGAAAGTAATGACTCAGTTTGAATGAAATAATGATAAGCAATATTGCAAAATATTACACCCAGAAAAATATCCAGTAGTATGAATGAAGATCAAGTGACAAATTTCTATGTTTTTGTGCTCTTGACACTGCTAACAGGTGCCATAAAACATCTGCAACATTTCAATTTTTGAAAATTTTGCTTTTAGTGTCTGTGGCCCCTCAGGATCCATACAGTGTACACCAATCCAAGGTAAATAACATTTGGGTTTTTCTACAAGTAAAAAGAAAAAAATGCATAGAACTGCTATGTCTGTCTCTACAAAAGACTTAGTACTGATTTGGAATAATTCTTTCCAGTGTAAGTGAAAGTTGTGGCCAAAGAAAAGTGGGCAGCACTTTTGCTGAACCTTGCTGTTAGGACCTCTTGTTCAATCTTTTTCTCATGTCCCTTTATTCTTTATCCCCATGTCCGATATCGAAACTAGTGGATTTCACTACTGCCAGAACATGTAGTATTATAGAAAAGTGTCAGATAGTAAATTGCAGTTGTTATTTCTCTCAGAACGTTTTAAAACCTGGTTTGTAAGTCTCTTCTTCCAAGCGTTTTATGCAGGGCTTTATTAAATATGCTTTAATGATCCTCTAAATGTAAAGATAAATTAGTGTGATGTATTAGATCTAAGCTCCAGGTATAGCTCTGAAAGGAGCATGCATGCATGACTCATGTAAATGCTTACTTGTCCATAAGTATTTTGCCTTTGTCTCTTACCTGGTAGTAGAAAAATTGCACAGTAAAGCTCTTTCTTGCAGGGTGTCCTTGTGTCATCAATGGAACGCATTATAAAGTGGGTGAAACTGTGGCACAAATACAGGATGGCAACATATGTATAACATACGTTTGTGCAGAAAATGGTTCTATAGTTGTTGGAAGTACTTATCCTTGTCCAACATCTACTTCACCTACAACCATTTCAACTTCCTTTCCTACCAGTACTCTTACCACTACAGGTAAATCTTCAACAGAGATGTGCATCTAAAAATTATTTTCTTTAAGAAAAATACTTTAAAGATAGAATGTACAAGTATATGGGCTTATAGTTGAAACAGAGTGATACTTATGAATAGTTTTATCACACTACACTAAGAAAGATTTTTAACACTTTTAACACTCAAAGAGAGTTGATTTACTTCTCATGGAAGAAATTGTAACTATAAATGTACAGGGTGCCTGCCCAATTCTGAAAAACATGTTAGCATCTCAATATCCTGCTGGGATAGTAGAAATTTTCTCAGTAGTCTCAGCAAAATATTATAATTAAGATATTTAAAACTACTATTATTTTTTTTCTAAAGCTTGCAGATGATGTAGTAATCTTTTTTTCTATTTCAGTTACCACTACAAGCCCTCCAGTAACTACAAGTAAGTTTTAAATAGAAAACTACGTTGTTCAAAAATGTCAGATGAACATTTTAAGAAAGAGTAAATTAAAGATGGCCACTACAGAAACATATATTTAAAACAAAAATAAATAATTTTTTTAAATTGCAAAAATGTGGTAAGTATAGTGAGAAGAAAGACCTTTAAAGGCTTCAGCTTGGTGATTTAATTTTGATGCAAAGCTTCCTGTTGAAAAACGTGGTAATATAGAACCAATTTTGGAACTCTCTTCTCTTGGAAAAATAACAAGTTGCAATGCATTGCTCTAGTTCTTAATGGAATAGAATACAAAATTAATCTTCTCAGAATGTTCTCTGTAAGAATCTCTGTCTTTTCTTGCAGCTCCATGCTTTGGATTAATCTGTAATTGGACTGAATGGTTTGATGTTAGTAAACCTGAAGAACATGGCGGTGACTATGAAACCTACGATGCAATAAGAAGTGAACATGGAAACAAAATATGTGAAGCTCCTGAAAGAATTGAATGCAGGGCTAAAGATAGGCCCGATGTGAGCTTAGAGGAACTTGGACAGAAAGTAGAGTGTAATGTTACATACGGACTAATCTGTAAAAATGAGGAGCAAGATGCAACTCTGTGGCGACTTTGCTATAATTATGAAATCAGGGTAAACTGTTGTGAATGGCATGAAATTTCTTGTGAGATTACAGGCACACCGAGTCCGACACCAACTGCAACTTCAACCACCACCAGGACAACAGTACCCATCATGACTACAGCCAGGCAGCCAACAACAATTACCACCATGCCCGTACCCACCCCAACCATCACAAGCGAATTCACACCATCAGTCACCACCCCAGTAACTTCAACCTCTCGAGGTATTTGGCAGACCAGTACTCTCTGCTCTTGCTTTGCCATAGGAGAAATAAAGGGCCATCAGCTATTAAAGGCTCCATAGCAGATATTGAGCTGGCAGGAAGTCTTCCTTATGCTGGTTTGGAGCTCTATTCTTCTGCTGGAGAGAAGATTCCCAGAAGGACCCCATGTGCAAGATTAGAGTAGGCCTTGATTTAGAGTACCATCATTTTAGGCATTGTCTGTGTGGGGCTGTGCAGAATTCCTTCCCTTTCTCCTCCTGCTTTTCCTGTCAGTGCTAACGTTTGCCTGTAGTTATAGATCTAGGAAGGAAGGATTCCCCTGGCAGGCTTTCAGGAACAGTTTCAGTCTGCAGGCTGCCACTTGCTGTGAACTGTGGTCTTTGGCTGCTGAGATCCACTAGTACTCTGTGAAACTTTTGATCAGGCTGACATTGCACCAAAGGGAAATTACATGGCAATCAGGCAGGAACATATTCCTGTGCATATTTCCTTCCCAGACAAGAAATTCCCCTCTCAGTTCTTACTCCATGAGATAGCGAGGTGTTCTAAGTAATAACGCACAGATAGAAAGCCTCACAGAGCCTTACTCCTCCTCATGTCTTACCTATTGGTACTTATTTTCGATTTAGTTAAAAGCATATTACAGCAAGATCCCTAGTCTCTTTGCTAGGAAAGGATTGTCATGACCCTCTCTGTGCATTGATTTGGAACTAGTCTACTTTCTGGGGCTGGAAAGGAAGGCCTAGTGATATAGACCTTTACTGTGATAAGAGTGGGTTGACCGCTATGGGTTTCTGGCAGCTGCCTAACATAACTTCTGTTCAGTCTGTGTTGTGTCCCACTCATGCATCTTGCATCTGTTTTCTTTGTCCCTACTGTTTCTAACAGCCCCACCTTCGTCCACAACGAGCACAGTGTCCTTTCCACACACATGGACAACCACTCCCACGCCAACACCATCGGAGCCTCCCAGCACCACTGCCACCACCACGATGCCCCCCAGCAGCACCACCAGCAGCACCCCGGGGACAACGATGACTGTTCCTGGCACACCAACTTCTTCATGTACGTTCCCAACACCAATAATAATCACCAAAACCCCGCTGCCTCCGATTTCAGAACCAATAAGTAATTCTCTCGCCGTGTTGTCATGTGTTGCCTTGCTGTGGGATAAATCAAGGTTTATTGGCAGCTTAACATGTGTCTTAATTTTTGTACTCTGAGGGAGTGTAGTTGATGTATATTT